TGACTACTTGACACTCAAAAGAGGATTCGGCCAATTTGCATGCCCTACAGAGACGGGAAAATGAGAAAATGAATGACAAGGTAATAAAAATACTTGCCTACTAGAGATGTAACTCTGTACTTAGGCTTTCAATTATATGTATTTATCAAGTAATAAGGACACTATCCTGACGGGATAGATGTCCAAGGTTTAAATATATAACAATAAAATATTAATAACGAACTCTCTGATTAACTGTATACACATAAAACCGTACAACAGAGTTGAAATGGAGCACTTAAAACCTCAACCTGTAGTTGACACTTAGTCCTTAAATATGATTCAGTATATTATTTTAGAAAAATTACGGGTCTTTAATTATTAAATAAAAAAGTAGGATTTAGAGTAAAAACAAAATATAAAAAAAATTATTAAAATTGATAAATAAAACTTAATACAAATGAACAGTTTTCCACACTCTAAATAAGGGAGGACTTTCCAGCTGGTTCCCTGAAGTTGTCCGGGACTAGTCTTAAAGAGATCTGGACCTCTGAAGGAACAGCTAAGGGTGACGACAAAGTTGTAAATTTAAAAGAGAATAACTTTTTATTATAAATATAAATAATTTTTTTTGTCTAATAAACCCCCTCCAAAAAAAGGAATCCTGGACTCTGGGTTTTTTACTTCTTAAGTAGGCTAAAAAGAACATTTGAGTTCCTTCTTACTCTTAATAAAAAGTAGGGAAAAAACACAAGGTTTATTAACTTTGAAAGTTACAGGGAAGCTTATATGCAAGCAAAAAACCCTAATCTTTTTGTAAATAGCGTATCCTTCGCATGGTTTTGACAATATTTGAAGTAAAATATGATTGATTAAATAGATAATTTTAACGAAAGCATGCTATGAATATATTTTAGAATATAAAAGAACGTATGAGGCAGAATATTTTTATAAATAGTCTTATAATCATCTGTCCATAAAATGTTAGGTTAGGTCTATAAAATAATTAGGATCATTGTTCAAATTTGTAAGCATGTTTGACAGAACTGTAAACGCTTTCTTTTATGAACATCGCGCATCGGTAACCTCTTGTACCGGTAATATTTTGTACGCTTATAGTAGTGCATTTTTAAAACTCTACGTATCGTCGCACTGCTTTTTCTCTAATGCATTATTAGCATTGTTTAGATTATTTTCGGAATTTTCTAAAATAAAAATGTTATTATGGATTTAATCTGTTATTTTAAGTATTTAATTTTTACCTTCAAAGTAAAGCAAAGTATTAAGATATTCATCATCATTTACTACGATAGTACGTTTCTTCCGTTCAAACATTTTTTCATTTATGACATGACGATAATTATATAAAAATGTATTTGCAGAAGGAGTCTGTAGATCTGACAGTAGGACTGACAGTTTATAATAAATTAATAATTGTTTCATTTTGAAATGTCAGTTGCATGGTTAACCTTTTGTAGTACCATACGCCATTATAGAACAAAACTAATGCTGCAGTATGGTATACATTATAATCAGAAAATGCAGGGCTACTCAAAAATATAAAAAGACAGGGTGTCCCATTTGAAATATTAAAGAATGTATTTTATTGGGCACTCCCTGTATACAAAATTTGGTCTGTTGCTACATTGTTGGTCGGTACAGAAAAAATAATACAACTTTTATTTTAAACTTTTTTTTGTATTCCCAAAATTAAGAAAAAATAAGTGGGGGTCAAAATATAATTGTAACTTTATAATTGGTATTTGTTTTAAAAGGATATTTTTCTTTGTTTTTTGGCCATAATAGGAGCTCGCTCCTCTGCCCTCATTTTAACAGTTGCATATGGCTTTAATAAATATCATACATTTTGCGTCTACTTACTTTTGCTGTACGTGGCATATTTGTGGTCGGTTAAACTAAAAATAAAACTTGTATTTGTAAAATATGTATAAATGTACTTATATTTAATGGACAACTATTTCGCGACAAGGTAAACTGCATGCTAAATGTAAATGGTTTACTTACGTATCTATCAGAATAGATTATTTTTCACTGGATTTCCACTAACATCATATTAAAAATATCTAGTACTAAATACTAAAATTATTAAATGTATGTAATATTCTAATTCATTGTAACACAGAGTTTTAATATTCTTGGGTTGATATACATAGTGTCCAGAAACGCTCCTGACAAAGGAAGACTGAAGATTCCTCAGATAATTTTAAGACAATTTAACCCAATTCACCCAGTTCGAAAATGATTCATAAGGGAGCTAGAGCTCTTTAAAAGATGGCGCCTTGTAATTAGTTTTTTTTAATACCTCCACGCTTCTGTTTAGAAAAACGCATTCTGTTATTTTAACGCATATCTTTTTTGTCTTTACCTTTAAAGCATTCTTGATAATATATTATTAAATTTTTCAGTTATTCCAGTACTAAAAGGTACTCTTACACCAAGTTGATAAGATACACCGTTTTCTAGAAAAATCGATTTGAAAATGAGGAATATGCTGATATGATTTAGTTTATGGCGAAATGAGGTGTAACGTTCGAGCTCCAAAACTTGGATACCATGAAAAATTTCACAATCCTAATTCCACTTACTCAACATTGATACCTCTTCATCAACGATTAAGACAAACAGGTTCAGTGGTCCCAAAAAATAATCAAAGAGGGAACGTGATGATGTAACAGCAGCACATGAAGATGGCATTCTAATAAAAGTTGCGAAAAATCAAGAACTTAGCGTTCGAAGACTATCTGCCACGCATCCCACAATTTCAAAATCTTCCGTAGGATAGAACACAACGTATAACACAATAAAAATTTATATTCTTTTCATTTTACAAAGGTTCAAGCACTGCCACATGGAGATTTTCATGCTTATGAAGAATTTCCTAGATGGTTACAAAATCAGAAAAATCAAAATGAAGATTTTTTTTAGATATATTTTGTTTTGCGATAAAGCTACATTTACAAAAAATTGAATTTTTTTAATGTGCATAATTCACAATAGTATTCATAGGTTGGTGACAATCCTCACGTTGATCAAGAATGTAGGCATTAGCATAGGTTTAGCTTAAACGTCTTGATAGGTGTAGTTAACGATAACTTGAGCCTGTAGAATTGATTAGTCGTTTAAATAATGCTAATTAATTACATTTCCCGCAAAATATTTTACATGATCCGTTAGATGATGTGCCGAAGTTTTAGATGACGGCTGGCCGGCCTACTTTAGCGGGAATATACGAGACCTTCTTGATAATAACTACGAAGACCACTGGATTGTGCAGCAAGGTCACCGGATTTTAATCCTTGCGATTATTATGTTTGGGGATACATAAAAGCATTTGTTTATTTCCATTCCGATACAAAATCGTGCACAACTCTAGCTAAGGATATAAGAGGATCGCAACGAATTTAGAAATAACTTTAGAAATTTTGCAAGAATTCGGCGTTCTATAAGCAAAGGGGTAAATTTATGCATAGAGACTATTGGTCATTAATACCGAGCATCTTTTGTAACTATCTATTTTTGATACTTATTCTTTTGCGTTAGTTCCATTCCATCATAAGAAATAGTTTATTTTTAAAACCTTTTAAATAAAGTTTAGTTTCAATTTGATTTTTGACTTCTTTTCTCAAACTTTTTTTACGAATTGTATGCCGCATTTGTTGAAACAAAAGATAATTTATAAAATTAATTAAGATACCTATTAATTTAAAATCTCATGACGAAGTTTTCAAACCGATATTTCTAGAAAACGGTATATCCTACCGACTTAAGGTAGAAGTACCTTTTAATAATGGAATACAGGAAAATCTACTATTACAAATGCTTAAAAGTTAAAGACAAAAAAGGTATGCGTTAAAATAACCGTTGAGCTACCCAAAACGGACGCTTATGACCGGCACTAGAAATGTGCAATTAATGGAATCGATTCAACTCTGGATGAAAAAAATTGTACCAGTTTTCGAGCTAGAAGCGTTCTGGAGGTATTGAAAAAAAACTTATTACAAGGCGCCATCTTTAAAGAGCTCTAGCACCCTTAGAAAGCATTTTCGGAATGGGTGAATTGGGTTAAATTGTCTTAAAATTATTTGAGGAATCTCCGGTCTTCGTTTGTCAGGAGAGTTTCTTGACACCCTGTATAATCTGCCATGAGTTTTAAAATCTACTTCATATTTTGCACTTTATTTTTATTTAGCAAATTTTGTTCATCCCTTGGTATACAACTCAAGAAAGTTTTTTTGTTTGGCAAAGATTTGTTGCCAAAACTCAAAATCGAATTTTTATGTTAAATTATTTAAAGAATATTCTCTAACAATGAAAATTTTACAGCAACTGGTCAATGGAAGTGATAAATTTTATTGATCTTATGAGAATCGTAAAAAATGGTCAAAATCGCGCAACATTTATTTATTTAACAGTTTTATAATAACTAATGATATCGAATTTTTACCGTCGAGTAGATACAAATTTTATTTTAAAAATTCATTTCACGCGTTGTTTCTGGAAGAACGGTTCATTCTACATAAAAAGTACTAAAAACAATTTGTTTAAAATTATCTCAGTTTATTTCTTGTTTGAAACACTTTTTCTACGTCGTACAGATTCTTGATAAATCGATATTTTCTGTTCATCATCCCCTACGAGGAGGATTTTGGAAGAAGCCGGGAGTAGGAGCGGCAAACCTTTTTGCAACTTTTTTAACACATTAAGCCCCATGTGCACCACACTGATGCACAGCATGGTTTTACCACGGACCAATTTGTCCTCAGTATATTATCGTGTTTAAGAGACTGTGGCTATGTGAGGGACGCAGTTTATGTATTTGTTATATGATAAATTAGAAGGGTCTGGTCTATAGAAAATGGAAATCTGTCTTGGTCTGATAAAACCTGCCTCCAGTTTTTGTAGGTTAGGATTTTGTTGACATTTGTATTTCACTGTGGTATTATCGTGTGCGACAATTGTATTCATTTTCTTCAGTAGAAAAGTATTAATATCTTCATATAATGAACAAAATAGGCTTATCAGAAGATGAGCTTCGTCGAATACTAGAAGAAACTGATTTCAGTGATTGTAATATATCAGATTATGACTCTGACGACGATCATGCTTATCAAGAGAATGACAGTTATCAACTTTATTTGAGTAGTGATGAAGAAACTGGGTCCAGTAATTCTATTATTAAAGTGGTAATAGGTAATTGATTTCGCTCACAGTATAGATTGGTGTTTTGATTGTTTTAGTACTTTTTAGAAAGGGGTGACGATGTTAGTAGTCCAAGAAAGAAACAAAAGATGTATAACGAAGTATGTCCTTCTAATGCAGTAGATGATTTAGTAATTGGTAAGATGTCTTATTTGCAATTTTATATTTTGTATTGATTTGTTGATTATTTAGATTCCAGAAAAACTGAAGAATTCGTCTACAGAGACGATGTTAATTTAAGAGGAGATAAAATAATGTGGAAAGAAATAGATGGCCCGGAGGAACCAAATAAATTTAAATTTACTGATAGTCCAGGATTCAACATTGAAGAAGCGCAACTACATGGTCATGAACCGATTGATATTTACTTAGTATTTGTTAATCATACAATTCAAGATTTAATAATAACAGAAACAAATAGATATGCTTAACAGAAAGTAGTTGAGAGGATTGTAATCGAAACTATCAGAAATTATTCGTTTTTATGAAAATGGCAAGACACAGATAGAGATGAATTACTTCGTTTTTTAGCAGTTATAATGTGGATGGGATTAAACAAGAAACCAGAGTTGAAAGACTATTAGAGCAATAATCCACTTCATAAAAATTAGATTTCTCAAAATTGCGGTTTTAACAGGAACCGATTCGAGGTCCTGTTACAGTGTTTCCACATTTCCGATAATGAAAATATTCCACTAAATAATAGACTCTACAAAATCTCACCTCTTATAATAATCTTGAATAGTAAATATCAAAAAATTTGTACGCCTACGAATTCTCTGTGTATTGATGAGACAATGGTGCCTTTTCGTGGAAGGTTAAGTTTTCTTCAATATATACCTGGAAAAAGGCATAAATATGGGATCAAGCTAGTTAAACTTTGTGTCTCTGAAGGTTATACATATGTCGTGAAATTTTACGGGTGAAAATAAATACCATCAGAGAAATCCTTAGCTTCTAGGGTAGTTATGGAACTTATGCAACCTCTTTTAGGTACCGGAAGAACAATATTCACGGATAATTTTTATGCAAGTGTAACGAGAACGTTACTTTAATATTTCGTAAACATTTTTTGAATAAATTTTAAAATCCCAATCCTCTTAATGATTTTCTAAATTCTTAGAATTTAAGTTGGTATTAAACAACGCCACCTACTGCGCTGTAAGCACTGTAGCCAACCCAACAGTTTTAACTGTAGATCTACAGTTTTTTGTAAATTCTTTCGGTTGTTTTAGTTTAGGCAACGAAATCTACAGTTCTTTTATTTAAGATGCTAGCGTCATCTATTTATTTGCCAAGTAGTCCGTACTGACTAAGTCAACTGAATTATGAAAACCAAACTAAGAAATAAACTTTCTACGACCACAATAAAAGGTACCTTGCACACAAAATCGGACATTATAAATTGTTTCGAGTTTAATGTGATGGAGGATTATCTAAAAAAATTCAATAAAAATATGTATGATTTTAAAAAAATCAAGATCAAACGGAAAATCAAGAAGATTTACGAATTGAAAATGAAATAGAAGCTAGTGATACTGATAGCTATGATTTTCAAGGCAAGCATTTTCTTGAAGTGTTTGTTATAGTTTTTATATATTAACAATTTTATTTTATTTAATGTATCTTTAGAGCTTTTACATTTTTAAAAACTTATTTATTTATACACGGCATCCATTTACTTACAATTTTTACAAAGTTACATCTTAAAAACAATATATTATTAAAATTACAATCACAAGTTTTAAACAGTTACACCTTAACAACAATAAATTATTAAAATAACAAACACCTCAGAATAATACAAACATATAAGAATAATACAGATGTACAACCAACTTATTGTAAGATATTTTTTAGTTGTTTTTTAAACAAACTAATTTTGGAGTCAAAAATATCTATTTGTCTTGGCAAGCTATTAGCACTCCGGACCAATCGTGTAGTTGGCTCATTGATACCATAATTAGTGTGGTGAAGTGGCACCGAAAAGATTTCTGATTGTCTGTTGCTTCTACTAGGAACTTTAAGACTAACAAGCGATAAGAGTTGAGGACAATTTATAAAAGCATTGATAACTTTGTGTAAGAAACATAAATCTAACAATGTCCTCCTTGACTCAAGTGTTGGTAAGTTAAGACTATCTCTTACCCACTCATAGTCATATTCCTCTCTTTTGTATCCACTCTTATAGGCTGCTACCCTCAAAAATTTATTCTGGACTCTTTCAATCTGTTGAATGTAACAGTGGTATGATGGGGACCATACAACTGATCCAAACTCAAGAATGGGCCTAACGAGACCACAATAAAGTCTTCTAAATATAAATAAAGACAGATCCCCAGATGTGCGTTGGATAAATCCCAGCACTTTCATCGCTCTGTTTGTTACTTGGTTAATGTGGCTTGAGAATGACAGTTTGGTGTCTAACCAAATTCCCAAATCTAATACTTCATTTTTCGAGGCTAATGGCAAGTTATTTATGTAGTAAACAAATGTAATTGGATTTCTTTGCCTCGAGAATGTCATTTTATGACATTTGTTTATACTGAGTGACATTTTGTTTAAAGTGCACCAATCATAAAACGATTTAAGATCTTCCTGTAATATAACAGCATCATTCCAGGATTGAATTTTTCTAAACAGATTTACATCATCAGCAAACATAAGAACACTACAATTTTTTATTTGTTGTACTAAATCAACCAGAAACAAGCAAAACAAAACAGGGCCACAATGGGAGCCTTGTGGCACGCCTGATGGAACTGTTATTTCAATTGAAGTGTCACTTCCCAAGTTAACTGTTTGCGTACGGCCACTAACAAATTCTGTAATCCACTGAAGAAGGGTATCTAAAATACCCGAAGCTCTTAGTTTTTGTAAGAGGACCCCATGGTTTACCCGATCAAATGCTTTGGAAAAGTCAGTATAGATTGAGTCAACCTGGCACCCCTCTTCAAAGCTGTTATATATATATGATTGACATACAAAACCAGGTTGGTATCTGTTGACCTCCCTCTCATAAAGCTCATAAATTTAATTAAACCTGTGATAATTACATTATTTTTATTGTTTTAAATTTCCTCCCTTTACTATATTCTATTTATTACTATGACTAAATAATAGAAAATATTAAAAAGATGAAGATGTAGATTTACTGATGTTTAATTTGATATTTACTGTTTTTTACAGTTTTTTTGCAAATATATCTACAGTTTTGCTCTAAGCTGGGGTTGGCAACACTGGCTGTAAGGGACATGACCATCGGTCTAATAATTAGAGCTCATTCTGGTTTTAACTTTTTGGTAAACAACTTCGTTTAACAGGGAAAAAAGCGTAGGCGACAGAGCGAGACTAAATTTGTTTTAAAGAATATTAATTTTGTTGGGGAAGGAAAGTATGGAGTTTTTTCAGTTGTTTTATAGTATAGAATCGTTGATTTAAAAGCCACCTCTAGTCGGTAAGTTCTTTAAATTATAAATAAAAAGTGTAAAAACTATCAGCCATTTTATCTTCTATAATATCGTCACTTTTTCTTCGATAGTGTAATATCTATCTATTATTTCTCACATTATTTCCTTAAGAAACATTCTAGATTTATATATAATAATGGTATAAAATCATATTAATTTTCTTTTTTATTTCCCAGCCTTAAAACATATAATTATCCATCGTTAAATTATCTATTATCTACTAAGTCCACCTGTAAAAATATTCTGCCTTACCGTCCTTTTATATTCAAAAATATATCCGTGTATTAAAAATATTTCCTTAAAATTATCGATTTCAATCAATTTATTTTACATCAAATAGTGTCAGACCATGCGAAGGTCACATTAGCTACAAAATCATTACAGTTTTTTCCTTTGATACAAGCTTCCCAGCAACTTTTTGTCATATTTTTTCCCATATTTTTATTAAGTGTAAGGAGGAATAGTAACTCAATTGTTCTTTTTAGTCTACCCCCAAGAAGTTAAATCCGGAATCAAGGATTTTTCTTTAATTTAATTTTATTGGGGAATAAAATTACTAAACGCGGAAAAGAAATTACGTTTTGATTTTGCCCAGTTGCAGTCTGTTCCATCAAGGATCTAGAGGTCTCCCGACTACTCTTGGACCAATTCCGGATACCAGCCGAAAGACCTCCCTTATTTAGAGGATGGAACCTTGTTAATTTTTATATTGTTTATCCATTAATTTAACAATTTTGTTCATAATATTTTTTCTTTCAATCATACATTTTAATATTTCACTTAATAATAAAGACTTGTCATTTTTTCTAAATAACTATAAATTACATAAGCATTAATTTTTTTTACGTTCAGGTTGAGGTTTAAATCCTCCCTTGTAACTCGGTTGTACGATTTTTTGTGTACACATTTAATCAGAGAGTTTTTTTTTAGATTTTATTATCATTATATATTTAAACGTTTGGACACTTATCTCGTCAAGATAGTGTCCTTATTACTTGTTACTATTATATTCAATAAAGCCAGAATACAGAGTTGCATCTCTGAGGCAAATAAATTACCTTTTTAGGTCAATTATTACCATTTTTTTTCCATATTTTATTATTTGTAAATTTAGATCATCTAGGATCAGTTGTATAACCAGGGCATTTATTTTTTGTATATAACTAGATTAGCTGTACATAATTGGTGGTGGGTATATTAAATTTAGATTGTATATATTTGGCTAGGGATTAAAGTTTTGGTGAAAACTAAATATTTCAATTCATACCTATATCCTTTTTTTTATTTTAGCAATTAGCTTTACAAGATACCTTGGAAAGTTTAGGCAAATACTTTCCTGGCGCCCACTCACATTTTGGGGCAACTTCTATAATCATTTTTATTTATCTTAGTTATATACCTATAGATTTTTTTATTAACTTGTCATTCATTTTCTAATTCTACGGTCTATGTAGGGCATGCAAATTGGTCGAATTCTCCTTTGAGTGTCAAGCAGTCACTCTCCGGCACCTTCTGCTAGCCAGCTTAAATTATACGTTATCCTTTCCATTATCCTACACGTTTTTGTTACATTGGCGTCCAACAGCCCAAAGCATTTTTGTTATACAAGCGTTGAACTAGCACACGAGTTAAACAGACAAAGCACACACTAAGTTGGTACATTACGCG